TGACATCAATGAATGACGAAATGTATGACTGGTGCAAACATGATAATCCTGACACGCGTGTAATGTGAAAGCATGACAACATATCACGCACATAGCATGCTCGCGGCCGTTTCGCTAGCTCCCCATATACTAAATTTAATTTCACGTGATAGGAATAGATGACGAAGGTAAACGACACATTCAAACGTAGTAATCATGGCATGGAAGTCATGTACGGTATTATTTACCTCCACCTCGTAACGTTGTGCTGATTTTAAAGCAACATTTCAACATTTCTCATTCGTGCTTCGCATATCATCGATTCACACTGTATACGTGGTATCTGCCAATTTTTTTTGTAACTCTCACTTCCGTGTACTCTTTATCATTCGAAAATCGATGCATTTGCTAAGCCTCCCCGCTTCACTAACCGGAGGTCAGTCTTCTTGATTCTCACAGGGACAAACATGTTTCTCCGTTGCAAAAGGAACAACGTTTCTCTATTTAAAGACGAACTTTGAGTACATCATCGTTTCTCCCTAATTGGAGGGAACATCACTCCATTTCTTTAGGAGTGTGGCCATGAATAAATGATGCAGTCAGCGTGCTTCAAGACACACGGCTTGAGCAGGTGCGGCATGCCGGAGAAATTAACGAGAGCAAGAAAGCGGCTGTCGTGTGAACGATAAGATTGTCAAACATCTACCTCCGGACAAGTCGACTGAATATGGCGATAAAAATGCGACAGCTGCTGCATAAAATGAAGGTAATCTTACTGATTATAGGCCCCGAATAAGATGAACGTTAGGCCCTAAATGCCGTGTGAGTGCCTAAAAATTAATATGTCAGAGTTCGAACGGGGGATTCCTCTGCTTGCACGAGGCACAACAGGCCGGTATAGCCATACTGCAAAAAAAAAAAAAACAAAAAAAAATGCGCCAGGCCTGCGTGAAAGGCACAGAACAAACATAGTGAAAGCTGGAAGAGCGGCCTTTCAGAGCTTTTTATAAACACTCATTAGATAACTGCTGCAAGCACACTTGCTTTATGCCCACTTTGACATTATTATTAAAAATTTAGAGTAGTAGGACGGCGTTTGCCATGCTATTTTTCGTCATTCTTCTGAGAAGCGTGGAGAAGCGTGGCTTTATGCCCACTTTGGCATTAATAATTAAAATTTAGGGTAGTAGGACGGCATTCGGTATGCTATTTTTTGTCATTCTTCTGAGATGCGTGGTATCCGCTAAACTATGGCGACGGATTTTGTGCCAATTGTTCATGCAGTGGCTGAGTACGTTGAGAAATTATGCCTCAAGTGGGTATGCGCCACAGTTAATAGGTGATCATGAACAAGATTTTGTTGTGGGTTGGAGCATTGGACGACCCCCTCCTTACACTACTCGCATTGTGTGACGCCTAGTTTTTCGTTTGCTGTTCTGAAACGCTTTGTTACTCATAATAACGTGATTCCTTTCCCGGCATCAAGGCTGCCTAGGGCAAGTTTGCTAACAAGTCCCAAGCACGGCGTAGCTTAGTGGTTGAATACTAGGCTGGCACCAAGCGGACCTGGGCTCGAGCCTGACTATATCATTGGCACTAGTGCATTTTGCTAATTTCACGTGATGTGGTAACGGACACTGGCGGCGGCGGCGGCGGTGGACAACTACGCGAGACCCGAGTTGTGATCTCATAACCGTTTTCGCTGCAATATACCCAGCTCAGTGAAATCGGGAATCGATGCGCCCACTATACTCCGATGGCACATTCACACTGAGCATTCTGGCCGCCGAAAGTTCGCTGAATCTGGTTCGGCGGCAGCAAGATCCGTTGAAAGGGCCCTCTCTGCGCCGATCGCTCTCGGACCGATTTTCGCGGCGACTGCCGCCGAATCGGCCCCCACAGACCATGAGGAGCGCTGGTGAAGGAATTTTGAAAAGTGGCGGGCAAGCCCTACTCACTTGTCATGTTGCAGTGCACGTGACTGCATGTTGTGCGCAACAGAAGTTTCACCCATTCTCTGCCTATTTCACGTCCCTATTTTGTGGAAGAGGTGGCCAAGCTAGTCGCGGTCTTGCAGAGCGAGAGAAACCCCCCAACACCGCTGGCGTCGGCAATTTTTTTTTTTTACTCTGCATACATTACAAGTCAGCAGCTTGCCAGCACAACTGCTTCTTCTTGCTTCCTGCGTACACGAATCATCGAGGTTTAGACCACCGCATAGCGTAATGGCGTTCGGGAGCCGCGACAACAACCGGGTGATCCATGCCGCGTTCGCTCCATGCATGATTGGCAAAATCAGCAGCACGGGGCGCGTCCAGTGCGAACGACGCTGCGTGTCGGTGGCAGGAGATTTTAGCTCACTGTAGAAAGCGGATGCTTCAGTGTGAACTAGGGCTATACCGCATTGCACCGAAGCAAATACATTCGTTTTCCACCGTTTTCTTCCGGTGGGAGCCGGACGAAGGATAGCAGAGCAAAACGGGGCCAATCTCCTGATTACACTCCCGTGGTAGCTCAGGAAAGGCTCCGGCACATCGCCTTTGCCCCGGTGGATGCTCCGCGATCGCTCCGGCTCATCGCTCAGCGGCACTCATTTGTTGTTCGAGGAGTGACGTAGGCAGCCTCACCGCCGGGAGGCCGTTCCTTACAAACCAACACGACGCAGACAAAGCCGGTGCAGTGAAGATTGTGCGAAGCTTTCAGGCGCGTTCAAGGAAAAGAAATCGTTCTGTGCACTTTCTAGATATCACAAGTGATTACAAGCAGACACTAAGGTCGTAATCGACAGAAAGCAGTTGTAGGAACCTTAATCTTGTAACTGTTTCGGGCAGCGAACGGCACATTGTGATGTCGTGAGGGGTGAGTGACTCCGTGGTTGCTTGTGCGGTGCGAAACAGGAGAGTGAGCTACTCTTCAATTACCTGTGTTATTCTTGCCAGGTAGTGCTCAGATATGTAATGTTGGGTTTATGAGCAGACAGGTTATCAATAATAAGGAGATTTTACAAGGCATCAGTAAACGTCAGCGGAAATTCCGATAATGCATTGTTTAGCCCTCTAGTCTTTTTCGTAACATAACTTCGGTAATTTTATTAACACCCCTGTAATGTTTGGAGCACTTATTCAATGTGCAATACTGAAAATGCCATGGTTGTGGGTTGATTATATAAAAAATTATTGACCGTTATGAACAAACCTATCATGACAAAATTCTTTTGGTATTGTCATCATACAAATGAGTAATATCTGTCCGCTTTCCATATACAAAAACACCGGGTTGAGGTGTACCACTGCGTATAAATGATTTCACTCTATCATGTCAGCTGTACCAATAAAACATGAATAGCTGAAATCAGCGTTAATTTTTATATATGTAGTGAAATTAGTTAGGACAATTTGTTTGAAGCAGACATTTCGAACGGATATACGTACGCACTGATTTTGGTGAAATGTTTATCATTGTATAAGTGGTGTCTGAAATATTAAGCCCTACGGGGGTCATTTTACTTTCAGGAAAAGAAAGAGAAGGAGGAAAGGAGCTGAAGAGACCAGTGGCGAGAAATGCGTAAAGAAGGGAGGGTCGGGTTGCTTGGCAAAACGGGTTGTAGAGCTCAGACGAACCGGGCGTTGGGCGTGTTGGTATTCCATTGTGGACAGTGTTTTGCGCAAAAAAGGGCAAAAAAAAGAGGAAGAGAGCAGAGACAGGTGCATTGCGTGCTCTTTCTTTTGGGTCCATATGTTTGCGCAAAACGCTGCCCACAATGGTAGTAGGAGGCCTGACGTTATTGTGGAAGAGCGTGGGGGAGAGGTTAAATGCGTATTTCTGCAACCCTTTGACCGCAGAGCTCCGCCTTCTCGAGCTTCACCTTCTGCCTAATCTCAATTGCTGCGCTTCTCGGTGCAGGCCTCAACCGTGGCGTAAGCAAATGACTGGCCTCATCCGTTTCAAGTTTGCTGCAAGCACAGTTGCCCACTGCGGCATAATGTTTCTTTCGCCAATCAGCGAAGGGCGCGTGCGCATGGCAGCACACGAAACAACGCTGCTACCCACTTCGTTACGGTGTTTGCAGCTGACGACAGTTAAATATGTCTGAACACTTTGTAATCGGTGCGCCTTTTAAAGGCCCTCTCATGGCGCAATGTACGATGCCAGGTGCGACTCTCCACTTCTGCCACACAAATTTACTTGCGTTAAAGATTCTGCTCTCCCATACAAGACATTCATAAAAGTTTTTTGTTTGTTCCGAAATACTTTCATGCCACAGCGTCAACTTGTAGCACAAGAACAGCTTGCTATGCAGATGGCCAAGGCTTGATTCTCAATCAAATAGAATATATTATTGTCCATTGCATTCCCATCCTCATTTTTCCGTCATGCGACTATCGGATAACGCTGGCGCTACCACCGTCACCAGAATTACCGCGAAACGAGCTCTTGAACACTCGTGGGTAAATGAAGTGGGCAGAAACAGTACCTGTAAGCTGTGCCAGACAAGACGGCCAACTGTCCTAAGCCAAACAACATTCCGGTCCCCCATGAAGCAGTTTGGTGGGAGCCCGAGCCCCCCTTCATTCCGCACTGTCCGCCTATGCGCTTACGCATCGCTTAAGAAATTCCAAAAAGAAAGTTTACTTCATGGAAAATGTTTTTGGAATCATAAAATGCGAAAAAGACAGGCTGGTCAACCCGTATTCGGTTTGCTACCGGGAAAGACTTAAGGGAAGAAAAGCGGAGAGGCGTGCGAAAACGAAAATTAACAAGACAGGGGCTCAATAAACCAAACAAAAAGTTCAACAAGGCCTTGTGAGACTTTTTGTGCGAAAATGCGGGCACTCGAGCACTGACTCCTTTGACGTCAAGGGTCTGTAGTGAAGGCAGGCCAAAGCAGTGGCGGCAGTCCATGCTCACTGTTCATCGTCACAACCTCGAAAGATTGAACTGGAGCAATTCGGGACGAGATGCAATATCGGTTGAACACTTTCTCTCCTGCTAGGCTGACACTAAGTTCGGCTTGAGCTTACCTGTAGAAACATATAAGCAAAGTGCCAAGAAAGGTGGAGACGAAGCGAAGTGTGGCTGAGTCTCCAGCTGGAGGCCGCTCAGCCACTTCTGTGAGGCTGAGCACCAGCCAAGCATGCATTTCCGCCATGCTGAATGATCCGCGCAGCTTGAGCACGTTCATGCACCTACGCCAACATCGAAGGCTGTGTTAGAACACAACGCTCGCCGCTTCATGAAAACAAGCATTGCACAATCCAAACTGTGCATCCCCTAACTATCGTTATGTGTGATGACGTTACGTGATATGTGAGAACATTTTGCACACAATTTTCGTCACTGCTTGACTTAATCATTGTGGTGTTCACGCATTCTCTTGAGTGGCACATCCTTTCCAACTTGGGTGCAACCAAGTAGACTCTTGACATTTATGCGGATTCTAAAAATAATATTTCTTGTGGTTAAACGTCCCAAAGCCACACTTTTATCAACAAATGGGTGGCTACTTGGGCTGTTTGGTATTGTGTTTCGCAAGAAATTTACAATCTTAATGCGCAGGGGAACGTTTCATGAAGAGGTCGTTTAGGACATAGCGCACACATAGGAGGTGTGCGATCTGTCCTGTCTGACCTCTTTCTGAAGCACTAAGAAAGTATATTTCTTAGAAAAACATTATGAGGGTATTGGAGGGCTCGGAGAATTCGGGGCACTTAGGCTTCCTTAACGTACGTCCAGCTAAATTGCGTGCCTCTAGCATTTTCACCTCCCACGAAAAGACAGCCGGTATTTCATCCCTTGAGGTGAGCAGTTCAGCACCATAATTACTAATTAAAAAATTGGTGAGCCTTCTGTATATAACTCACAGTATTAACATGCGCGCTTCCACTGTCGTTTCGAGAATTAGCTGATAAAATATTTAGCAGATTATAGGACTTCGTTTCATGCGAAGCAGTCGGCAAGCAATAGGATATTCTTTCCTGGCTTGGAGTCAAGCGTTACGAGGTGATTTTTGTAACGGCAGTATTTGCGCCCACATTGTGGCCTTACCAGGATGCACTGGCGACCAAAGTTTAACCTGTGACCTTCAGAGCTGCTTTTAAAGTAAAGGTATAGACACGAAGGCCAGATATTACTTTTTGACTAAATGAATACTATGCCTAAGTGTATTAGTGCGGGGTTAAACAACGCTCGATTACCTGTAAGTGTTTAGGTGTTCGCGTAGCGCATATATATTCGAGTAGTTGGTGAAACGACCATTTGAAAAGCTGTCGTGCGATAGATGTCTTACCTTCTTACACATAATTCTTATACACAATCTCTTTGATCCGATTGTTTGACGCTACGACTAGCTTTCGCCGCAGCTGGTATGAATTCGTTCTACCCGGTAGAAGTACCTGTCATCCTCCAGCAGCGAGTGTGTCCGCCGGTGCAGAGAGAGGGGTCGTATCTGGTACTCTCGCCGGCGGCAGCACTTGGGCTGAAGATGCGCGGTGACGTAGGCCCGCAAGACGCCCTGCTGGCCCTCGATGGTTCGAATCTTGACCTCGAGCCTCGATGTGTTGGCCTGGCACCGGAACGTGGCGAGCAGGTAGTTGCCGCTGGACTAGAGGAATACACCAATAATGTCTATACATCCGAAAGCCAAAAAAGTAGAATCACAGATTTCTCGAAAAAGATATGCTTTCTGCAACCCTAGAAAAGCCAGAAGTAAATAGGAGAGGGAAAATATTCGCGTGCGCAGGACCCATACACCCTTCAGGTGGGCTCACGCTAAAGTAGCTATACGTGCCATTGGACTCTTCTTTCAGAAGCCATCGTGAGGTGCTCGATGGTTTTCGAGCGCAGATTGGTAGGTTGGGTGAGCTGGCTCGCCGTAATAGCTTGGTCACGAAATATGAAAGACAGAAGAGAAGCAGCAAAAGGTGGCCGCATCTGACGCGGCCATAGGTCACATATCCTGGCCTGTAAGTTGGCTTGCAGGTACCTTTAGTTCTTACGGCCGAAAAAATTCTGTCCTAGCCATTGAAGGGAAAGAAAAGATGATTGCGACACAAAGCCGTTCATGGGCGGAGTGGTCACTACACTATGGCTACAGGCGATGCTGCACAAGGACAGAGCGCATCTGCAGGATGTGAAAGAAAAGTTGGTCGGGGTTTTCAAGACACGCTCTCGTGGTCAACTGGATGAGATTATGGCAAGAAGTGGTTATGTGAGAGCACACGTGGCACATGAAGCTTAGATAATTAGCGTTATACTCAGCTGCAAGTCAAGGGCAGTGCGACGTTTCAGCGTCAAGAGACCCCCTCCTAGACGTGTCGCCAACTGCCTTTGCGCCGTGCTGCTCACGAGAGAAATAAAAAAAAAGTCATCGCAGAAGCATTTTGCATAGGCGTTGCACGAAGTAGTCTATGAGGGGGTTGCAAGGTCAGCCACATGCATTGCCATAATAAGCAATAAAGGTGGCACTGCGACGAACATTCGCCCAACAATGGTAGTTCGTACAGGTGGTTAACCAGAGGAATGCTAGAAAGCAGTGGTGTACGCAACAGCGTTCCGAATATTCCGGGAACTATTTCCTACGAACGAAGAACGCCACCATTCCTTTCAGGATCGGTGGAACTGCAACGGTAACTCATTAAGTTTATTAAACAATGGCAGAGGGAACGGCGTTAGTTCTGTAAGTGTTGCACGGCAATAAACAAAGTGCATGCAAGCCATGGTGTGACATGACTATGGTGCATCCTCGATTTCTAAGACGATAGTTTTTTTGGGATACTTAAACACAGATGTTGCTTTTTCAGTCTCTTTGCTGGTGTGCGTGTCCAACGATTCAGCCACCTGGTGAAAGTTCAAGCCCGTGATCTACGTCCACCCATGTTCGCCTCGTAGCGGCGATCATACTTGTGGACATTGTCAATCAAAACCAAATGTACGCATATTTCAACACTTAATGAGTATGAGGGAGTGTGTTTCCTCACTTAGAAAATGCATAGGTACGCAATTCTAGAGATCGCAGCGTTTACAGGTGTTACACTGCGCTGACCATGCGACGCTATCAACGAAAAAAATTCCGCCATATCCACGAAGTGAATGATGATGAGTGGGCGAAGCTCCGGAGGTAAACCTGGTAAACCATGAATCCTCTGTACATTTTGCCCACTCGAATTTATTACATCGCTCCCCCTAGCGTACGTCGCCGCACTAAATCGAACGATTGCCTTCAACCAATGACACGCGCCATATGTGACATCATTCCTATTTTATAAGATCTCGCGTCTTTCATCAACTACAAGTACCGCTTTCTAGTTTATAACATCTTGCATCTTTTCATCATCAGCTACAAGTACCACCATCTAGTAAACACTACAAGAACTAAACGAGAGGTGGCTACATACAGGAGACGGTACCGCCATCTAGTGAACACTGCAAGAACTAAACTAGAGGTGGCTACATACAGGGGACGGTACCGCCATCTAGTGAACACTGCAAGAACTAAACTAGAGGTGGCTACATACAGGCTACAGGGGACGCACAGCCCACGCCCTAAGGAGCTTCGCCCCTAAAAGCGAGGCATCGCTAAACTAGAGTTAAGGTGTATGCTACATTTATGTATCCGAGTTGGGCATCTGTTTACCAATGCCGCTAGCAACCACGCACTGCTGAGAAGCTCATGCACAGGCCACACCGGGGAAACATAGCCGCCCAGCCGAAGTCGATCGGCGTCCACCTGGAATCTATCGTGTGACCTACGAACATTTATTTGTTTTAGATTCATGTCCCGAAGCTTCGTCAGCAAGGTATTTGCATAGATTCGGTGCCATTTTCGAAAAACATACTGAAAAAGTTGGCAGATCCCACGTACAGTGGGAATGGATGATATGCGAAGCATGAATGAGAAATGCTGATATGTCACTTTAAATAAGCAAAACGTTACGAGGGGGAGGTAAATGATGCGGTACTTGACTTCCGTATCATGACTATCATGTTTAGATGCGTCGTTTACCTTCGTCATGTATTCACTTCACGTGATACCAAAATTATTATATGTGAAGGTAGCGAAACGGCCGCGAGCACGCTATGAGCGTGGTATGTTGTCATGTTCTTACATGACACGCGTGTCAGGATTATAATGTTTGCACGAGTCATATATTTCGTCATCCATTGATGTCACGTAACACAAAAATTGGTATATGCGAAACTAGCAAAATGGCCACGAGCGCATCATGAAGGGTCCAAAATACTCCAATGTAGCGTTGACGAGCGCGCACGCTGGGCACAGCAGCGCTACGTTAGCAAAACGCGAGCGCGCTGTAGTCTGACGCGAGACGCGACCAGCGTCTGTCGGTGCGGCCGGACGGCAACCAGCGCGAAATGTGACATGCTGTATTGCGCGCCGATGCGTTACGCGGACAACACTGCGACTCTCTTATTTTGTGAAGGAGGGCGCCGGACGTGATGAAACGCGCATGCTTCAAAGCACCGCAGCGCGGCACGCGCCTGCGAGTATGTGGCAGTAACGGCGCATGGAATGGCAGCGCTGGCGTGACGCGACAAAATGAGCGCACCACGTCACGTCGAAATGTATTGGCGACTTGACTGTGGCATGTAGTCATGTTCTCACATGACACGCATCTCATGATTATAATGTTTGCACCAGTCACACACCTTCGTCATTCATTGGCGTCACGTTGTACTAAATTTGGCATATGTGAAGCCAGCGAAACGGCCGCGAGCACATCATGGGCGTGGCATGTAGTCATGTTGTTACATGACACGCAACTCATGCTTATCGTGTTTGCACTAGTCACACACCTTCGTCATACATTCACGTCATCATCATCATCATCATCAGCCTGACTACGTCCACTGCAGGACAAAGGCCTCTCCCATGTTCCGCCAGTTAACCCGGTCCTGTGCTTGCTGCTGCCAATTTATACCCGCAAACTTCTTAATCTCATCTGCCCACCTAACCTTCTGTCTCCCCCTAACCCGCTTCCCTTCTCTGGGAATCCAGTCAGTTACCCTTAATGACCAGCGGTTATCCTGTCTACGCGCTACATGCCCTGCCCATGTCCATTTCTTCTTCTTGATTTCAGCTATGATATCCTTAACCCCCGTTTGTTCCCTAATCCACTCTGCTCTCTTCTTGTCTCTTAAGGTTACACCTACCATTTTTCTTTCCATTGCTCGCTGCGTCGTCCTCAATTTAAGCTGAACCCTCTTTGTAAGTCTCCAGGTTTCTGCTCCGTAGCTAAGTACCGGCAAGATACAGCTGTTATATACCTTCCTCTTGAGGGATAGTGGCAAACTACCTGTCATAATTTGAGAGTGCTTGCCAAATGTGCTCCACCCCATTCTTATTCTTCTAGTTACTTCAGTCTCGTGGTTCGGCTCTGCGGTTATTACCTGCCCTAAGTAGACATAGTCTTTTACAACTTCAAGTGCACTATTACCTATCTCGAAGCGCTGCTCCTTGCCGAGGTTGTTGTACATTACTTTCGTTTTCTGCAGATTAATTTTAAGACCCACCTTTCTGCTCTCCTTGTCTAGCTCCGTAATCATGAGTTGCAATTCGTCCCCCGAGTTACTCAGCAATGCAATGTCATCGGCGAAGCGCAGGTTACTAAGGTATTCTCCATTGACTCTTATCCCTAACTGTTCCCATTCTAGGCTTCTGAAAACCTCCTGTAAGCACGCGGTAAATAGCATTGGGGAAATTGTGTCCCCCTGCCTTACACCCTTCTTGATTGGTATTCTGTTTCTTTCTTTATGAAGCACTATGGTAGCAGTTGATCCCCTGTAGATTTCTTCCAGAATGTTTATATATACTTCATCTACGCCCTGATTCCGCAGTGTTTGCATGACGGCTGATATTTCTACTGAATCAAACGGTACATTCACGTACCGTAATACAAAATTTGATATTTGTGACGCTAGCGAAATGGTTGGAGTGCATCATGAGCGTGACATGTAGTCATGTTGTTACACGACACACATGTCATGATTTTCATGTCAGGGTCTGTCGCTTGTGTTCGCCTTGCAATCTTGTCATGCCATACCAGTTTCGCAGCATGCGATGTGAACGAAACCACCGCAGGAGCTGCAGGATCATGACATGTAAATCACGACATTAATGACATATATTTTATGATTTTTATGTTGTGACTAGTCAAATGTGTTTTTCATACAGTCAAATTATACCATACCAAGTTTGGTATTGATAACATTATCGAAATGGCTAGGAGAGCTACAGGTCATGGGCGGCTAGATAGATAGATAGATAGATAGATAGATAGATAGATAGATAGATAGATAGATAGATAGATAGATAGATAGATAGATACGCTAAAGTCGCCCAAGTTCACGAAGAAATGCTTCGCATTAAAAAAATAAGGCAGTTCTTGAATGTTGAATGTTATGCGGTCCCATTAGCACCGCATAACATGGGACCGGCATAAGGAGCTTGCACTTTACGCAGGCGAAAACACAATTCACGATCAATTATCAAAATTGCCGCTCCAGTGTCTATAAGGGCGTCAACAAAAACACCTTCCACAGAAACAGGCAGTAAATTAGCTGGACGAGACGGAGCAGTTGTATCGTTCCGACGACAAGCAGTCTCCCCTCCAAAAACTGCACCTTCTAGTTTTCTGAGTCCAGAGAGATCGGAGCGGGACGCAAGGGTGATGACGTACGCCGAAACGGTGACGGAGAACGGCGGCGAGATGAACGAGAAGGATGAGGCCCAGCATGAGACCGTGGAGGGGAGGGCGACTGACGGAAGGTGTATGGATACGGTGCGGGATCGTATTCATCGGGTCTCGGGGCAAAGTTTCGTAAGCTGAGTAACCACGTCGTTCATCCTGCTGATGGCGGCGGCAGAAACGGGATATATGACCCCTTATGCCACAGTAGAAGAAGATGGGGCGGGGAGGACGCCATGTAGAATAGTGACGTGGCCTTGGCGCTTGCGTTGTCATCGCAGCCACACGGGCGCATCCGACGTCCGCAGGCACGGTTGGAACTGGTGCAGGGGCCCGCGATGCAACTTATGCGTACGAAGGCACTGGGAAGCGCCCAGGAGACGGAGCATGTGCAGCGCTTGTCATTGATGCCCGTTCGTCCTTGATTATTTCTCGCAGGTTGCGAGGAGGTGTGTGGACAGACGCAACGGTTTGAGGTTTGTGAAAACATTTTATCGCTCCTGATGGCACCAAAACACCACATCGAAGATATGTCTGTGTGCGTTGCGAAAAAGATTGCGGTTCAATACGAACAGTGTGCTAGACTGATGCTGAATGCTGTAAGATGACAAGGGTCCCTGCACCATCCGGCCAAACATTGTCTCTATCGCTTCTAGCGTTTCAGTTACGTGGTAAATTTTGCCGGTGGTGAACTTCCAATAGTCATCGGATCCTGTGATGATACTAATCTCGTCCGGGGTCCACGTATTTGGTTGAAAGCTGCCACCTGCATTGTACCCCTGTTCGCCAAGCCGGTGCAAAGTGTTGGGGTCGTGTGGTGAGCTTGTGACAGAGCAAATTTCAGGAATCGTTAATGCTTCCAAGGTAAGCGTTGAATCGTTGAACTGGCTTCGAAGCCACACGTTGACACGCTCGGTGCAGAGTCACCTTTGTGACTTGGATTCTCTAAAAGTGACAAGGAAGAGCTCTTCTTTTTCCACGACGGAGCACTGAAGCATCCTTGCCTGGTCGGCACAAATGTAGGTGCGCTGACTGCCATTGTCCAGCAGTACCCGCGCGAGGAGTCGGTGGTCTCGGGACTGCCAAAATTTGACCTGTCTGTAACAACACGTGAGTAGACTTAACGTGACTCTTGGTGGTAGTGACCATTCGAGTGGTTAATGAGGGTGGTTGAAAAAACGCTGGGGATCTTGCATTAGGGTGCAGATCTTTGGCTGGGCGTGATAACTCGCAGAGGATGGTCAGGTGCCATCACTGGCTGGTTCCACACCTAAGATTGAATGACTTCCTGCACATTCTGGCGATGTGGTTTCGTGTTACACAGGGAAAGCAACAGTTGGTGTGCTATAGCCTTGCCAGCTTCTCTTCAGCCAATAGGTTGACATTGCAAGCGGCGATAATTTGATCCTTGCTGTGGCAAAGTGGGCACGCCAGAGTATAAGGCAAGGTAGACCCCGTTAGGGCGGACGCTGACGTTATAATTTCTGTGCCCTACGTTTCTTCGGATATGTGGGGTCTGGCTTCGTTTGGCGACACACGACGAGATTGTAACCAGCCCTCCTTTCGGATTTCCACTTAAATGCGTAGAAACGTTCGTACCTCTTTGGCTAGCTGCGTTCGGTCTTCAGGCGTTTAGGCGACGCAAGAGGCACAGTTTGATTCCTTCGATTTCTACCTGTACATTATAGCGAGATCCTCCAGCAGACATTAGGACACTGTTTAAGACCACAGTGTACTGGTCGGGCACAACTCCTAGGCCTTTCAAGGCACTAACGTGGAACTGCACACTATCGTGCAGCAGACCAAGCCTTCGGACGTTTGACAAGCTTTTCACAGGGCTTAGCGCAAGGAGACTCTGAACATGCTCGTTCACAAGGAGACCCTGGTGTCCAAAGCGATCTGTTAGGGTCTTGATTGCCAGGTCATAATTTTGCTCTGCTAAACAGATCCCTTCGACAGCTCGCTTCGCGCTCCCATTTAAGTGAGGAGGTACTTGAGTTTTTCGATGCGCGGTAGCTCGGTATTCTTGTGGAAGGTAGCGTCAAAATTGTCCCAAAAGGAATGCCATCTACAAAGACGGCCATCAAAAGTTAGTATCTGGAGCTTGGGCGGTTGAACCGCAAGTGGACGGTGCGCTTTCATGCCCTGCTGCTTCGCTGGAGCTCGGAAGTTGTAGGTTGCTTGGCCCAAGTCTAGTGGCTCGTGATTGCGTTGTGGCTGCCTTCTCACGTTACTGTAGCCAGAACTTGGCTCGTGACATGGCGTAAAAAATTTTTGCGTTGTACACATCTGATGTTTCCACTTCATTATCCAGGTTTTCTTCGTCCATTGCCGCCAGAATGACCTCGTCAAGGCTCGAAAGTGCTGCTCCTCTATCATTCAGGAAATCCACGTGACCGGTAATCTGGGAGGCATAAATTTCCGGTTGCTGCAGCAGGTATGATAACATTGCTAGGGCTTGGGCGAAACCAGCTCTGATCGAGCCGCGCTTCTTTCGAAAATGGTCATTGGTCGCCATGGTCGTGACGTTCAGGGAAGTCTCCGAAAGGGCGGATTCTGGGTTTCGCGCACCAAATGTAACACATAACTGGTCCGCAGACATTAAGCAGAGACGACCCGCTTATTCGTCATGGAGCCCAAGCTGTTCATTTCTAGTGCGTGCCTGTTCCCACTTCGTCCTCTTGGATAGTCTGGCCCGCTCCAAGAGAATATTCTGCAACATCCTCCCTGGGGGGCCAAGATGACTCGCACGATTCGATGAAGTACGGACCACTCCTGGTTGCTCCGATCCGGAATATTATTCAACAACCGAGATGATTCCGTGTCACCCTTTGGCGGCCTAAATTGCTGTATAATCTGCATTGATAGCATGCTAAATGTTGGGAATCTGTTGTAATAATGAAGGGAGTTTAGTGATAGCCACGTCGAACAAGCTATGCGAAAGGACTGAGCTTTGTGGCGTTCCGCTGCCTGCGAAACGAATTACGTCTGACCTGTGGTCCCCGATTCCGATAGTGGCCATGCGGTTGGAACGAAAGAACCTGACGCAATTGTATATGTGGGAGACGCTCTGGGAGGAAGCTAGGTTGTCATGAATTAGGTCGTGAGAGATGATGTAAAATGCCCACTTCAGATCCAGGGCCACAATTGCCTGAACCTGACTTTAAGCAACGCTATCCAACACGACCTGCTAAGCTGCAGCAATACGTCCTGTGTAGATTGTAGTAGCGACATATAACTTGACTGATATGCTGAGACAGTCTCTTACGGACAGTCTTCGAAGTAGCCAAATTCTTCTTCTTCGCCAAAGTAATCCACTATGATGCTCATAACATTGTTACTACAGGCCGAAGAACGGCATTTACAGCCGATTTTATGCAGTCCATCATAAAGCTTACCCACACTTGCCAGAGGAAAACAACTGCTGATCATCCGCAAACCATTAGCCTGGCTGAACGTCTTAACAGAACACCGACTCATATGTTTAAAATTTACCTAGACATGGAGCACCATCCATGGGACACGATAATACCATATGCCACATTCGCATACAACACCGTATTGCACGATGCTGCTCAAGTGACGCCGTTCGAGCTTGTTTATTGCCAAACACACACTACACCTCCGGATGCAGCGCTGTCTGTAAGCAACCATGATCACCAGAAAGGTGACGTCAGAGATTCCACTCAAACGGCTGACGAAGCAGGCCAGCTGCTACGATTCCGCATTAAAGAACACCGGTGAATTAATGGTCACCCATACAACTTGCGACGTAGAGAGTTCGAGTAAGCACAAAGTGACAGATTATGGATATGGAACCACGCACGAACACCTGGCCTCTTCGAAAAGCTTCTTCGTCGTTACTTTGTTCCTTACCGAGTACTGAGCCAAATTACCTCTTTAAACCACAAAGTTTCGCCGGAAAGACAAGTTAGTTTATCCAGGTGCCTGAACTTTTCACGTTGTTAGAATGAAACCATACTACGACCGGCAGTAAACATTATACTCTGTGCTGAATGCCACTATCCCCGACGCATATAACAGATAACACCGTCTAACTTGCCGGCTTACGCATCGGGACAATGCATTTGGAGGGGGAAGAATGAAGCATACCATAAACGTGTTCTAAATACGCTCGCCCTCCTAGCAGACAACGGCGTGCTGCAGCTGCAAGAATTAGCCCTGACTACATGCGTTCGAGCGCACGGGATCGGATTGTTAAGGATTGAGCTAGAACGGAGGAAGGAGCAGTTACGAGCAGCTAGAAAAAGCAATCGAACACTTCTTGTTTCTGCTTCGACGGTCAATGATATGTCATTGACTATCAAAGCAGGTATCTCTGCTTCGACAGTCAATGAGCGAAAATGACAGGACACTGGCTGTCATCAATTTTTATAGAAAGTAGGTCTGTTTCTAAAGTCCTGTGTACGCAGATATATCTTAACATGATTTACGCCTGTGCTAAAAAGAGCATTCGTACCTACCTGAGCATCACACGTCGTGTAGCTGACGACAGCTGAATTCTTGCTGCTGTCCAACAGGTCAACGGGTACGTTGGACTGCAAATGAAAATATGTACAATAGTGCGTTATAACTCATAACTTAATAAGCAACGGTTCACCAAGTTTCCCAGTCGTTATGCGTAGCGCAAACATTCTGAAGTACGTAGCTTAAGAAAATAATTTTATGAGCTGCTACGCTGAACCCGCCAAGTAATATTTATTGCACGCATACGTTTCGTAGTGACGCCCCAAGTGCTATAGTGGTTATGACACTCGACTGCTAACCCGCGAGATCGAATCCCGGCTGCACTTTCGAAGGAGGCGAAAATCTTGGAGGCCCGTGCACTTGGATTTAGGCGCACTTTAGAGAAGCCAAGGTGGTCGCAATTACCTGATTCCTCCACTACGGCGTCTTTTATAAAAATATTATGGTTTTGGGACGTGAAATTTAGTATAATATTGTTGTTACGTCTAAAATAGGGGTAGGACAGTTTATTCAACAGAAGGCTGGATGTCGAGGCCCCATGGAACAAAGCTGCCGAGAGAGAGATCTCCTTCTTCCAAAGTTCACACTTCTATTCTTTCTTCTCGGTCCGGCACCTACGAATTGTAATATTTCCCCCTTCGCAGACGAAGTGCACCGCGCGTTTGATGCATTGTCCCACAGTCAAAAAGCTATGAGGCGAGCTACATGGGTAGCCTAAGTCTTAGTGGATCGTCTCCCACTAGCTGTCAGTCGTGCAATTTTGTAATCGACCACACTGATGCGCTAATGGACAACGAATGAGCCAGTGTGGTGGGCGAGGAGCATTGTGGACAAGCCACGCTTGCATAGGCTTCCACACCAAGACAAGGTATCCTGGTTCATATGTAACGTGGCGGTGCTTGCTGTCGTAGGGTAGCTTTCAGCCATCTTGCGATGCGATAGTACGCAGGTGGGCAAGACGGTGAGTTTCTTCTGCAAGGCAAAGTATTTCGGCTAAAGAGGTATTGTCATTGTCGTAAAACAAAAAGATCGTGTTCAGGGTGTGACGAGGGGGTCGAACATAAACAAGGAAGGAAGGGCTCTGACGTGGTCTCATGTTGTGCAGTGTTGAAGGCATACGTGATGAACGGTAAAACGTCGTCGCAGTTTTTCGAATTAGGTGCCGCGTACATATTCACGAGTGTCCAGTTCGTGCGTTCAGTGAGGCCATTGGTTTGTGGATAGTAAGGTGTCGAATGTCGAAGTTTCGAGCCACTCGTACGGAGCTGTTCCTCGACAACGTCTGCCGTAAACTGACGGGCACGGTCACTTATCATGACGCGATGAGGTTCATGGCACAGTATTATAGAGTGCAAGATGAAGGAGGATTCTCGACCAGCAGTCGCAGATGGCAGGGCGGCCGTCTCGCAGTAGCTGGTAAGATATTCACCGCACACTACAATCCATCGGTTTCTTTTTGCCGAGCGCGGAAAAGGACCCACGAAGTCATTGCGAACTTGCTCAAATGGAGTGCTGGGAGGCCTCACAGGCTGTAGAAGTCCGCACGGAGTAGTCGCGACATTTTCGCATCTGGCATTGAGTACAATTGGCCACGTACTGCTCAACGGACTGGCGCATGCGTGGCCAGTAAAATCGCTCGTGTGCACGTAGGAGTGTTCGTGTCATTCCCAAGTGACCCAAAGTTGTGTCATCATGCATGGCACGCAGAACATAGAAACGGAGTGTGTCCGGAACCACCAACAAGAAACCCGAACCAGTGGCTGAGAAGGTCTTCTTGTAAAGTCATCTTTGACGAACGCAAAAGCGTCCTGCCAAAGTGGATGTTCGTGCTTCAGCAAATCACGGCTTCAAGCTGACGTTTTTCCACTGCTCATTTTCAAAGGTAGTCTTGTCCGTGAATATTGGAGTCACTGTCGCATATAGATGATGGGAATGGTCGGCATCGCAAAGTGTTCTAGTAAGCGGCATCCGCGAAAGGCAGTCAGCGTCAGTGTGCTTCTGGCCGCTTTTGTATAATACCATGAAGTGATACTCTTGCAAGTGGAGGGCCCAGTGTGCAAAGCGGCCAGATATGTCTCGAAGGGTTACAATCCAGCACAAGGAATGAGGTTGTGTGACCGCTTGGAAAGGACGACCGTAAAGGTATGTGCAGTGAAGACGAGTGCCAAACATTTTTGCTCTGTCACTTTGTCATTCCGTTCCGGTTTACTTGGAGTTCTACTGGCATATGTAATGACATGTTTCTTTCTATTGCAGCGTTTTACTACAACTGCACCTATGTCAATGCCCCTGGTGTCAGTATGAACTTCGGTAGGCGCAGAAGGGTCAAAGTACCGGACAATAGACTGCCACGTGAGTAAGAACTTGAGTTGGTTGAAGGACGTCTCACAGTCATGTTTCAATTCAAAACTAGCACCTTCACATAGCAGGATGGTCAGGGGGAAAGAAATGTCGGCGAATGTAAGAATAAATCAGTGAAAGCACGAGCACAGGCCTAGAAAGCTACGAAGCTTTTTCATTGAGTGAGGTAGTTTGCACTCCTTCACAGCTGCTGTATATACCGTTGGGGTCAGGCCTGATACATCTTTGTTCACGAGGTACCCAACTACCAAAGTTTTTCGCTCACCGAAACGACACTTCTTCGAATTAAGAACAAGGCCAGCGTTTCTAATGCATTTCAGAACAATGTCCCCGTGTTCGTTGTGGTCATGACATGTGCGCCCGAAGATCACGTTGTAATCTAGGTAGCACATACAGACGTTTTATTTTAGGCCACGCAGAATCGTGCCCATGAACCTTTCGAAGGTGGTAGGAGCGTTATACAATCCAAACGGCATCACGTTTAATTCATAAAGTTCGTCCAGAGTTATCAAAGCAGTCTTTTCCTTGTCCGCTGGATGCGTATGCATCCACCAGTAGCCCGAACGTAAATCAATAGACGAAAAGTAGGACGCCGAATGGAGACAGTCCAAGGTGTCATCAATTCGTGAAAGAAGATAAACATCGTTTTTCGTGATGCAGTTCAAACGGCAATAGTCGACACCACCTTTTTTTTCCGAGAATCACAGGAGTGGTCCAAGTACTCGATGATTCTTGAATGATGCCCTTCTGGAACATTACACACACTTGAAAGTCTATTACCTTGCGCGCGGACTGTGATACTTGGTACGGTTTTTATCGGATTGGCTGTGCCATTTCTGTATTTATTCTGTGGCGTGTATGACACGGGGAAATTGAAGGCGTATGGTCACTCTCGGAGGAATCAAAACTTGCAAGTACTTTATTAGAACGTCCACAAGCATACTGCGTTTGTCCACAGGCAGTGACTTATCAACCATAGAAAAATTTTGGAACTGTCTGAGCAGGCGTTCACTTGGACATCACGTGGAACGTCAGAGTGGACAGCTACTGTTTCCGGCGAGTATTCTTTAAACGAGGGTAGCTTAAGTCCTTCTCGTAGCAGCACTGGTCCATTTGAACGATTCATTTTGCAAAGTTTTGAACGACTTTTCCTCACGGAAACTATGCTGTGGGGTACTAACGTGTTTCTTATACCACTCATGTGGAAAGGCTCCACTAACGCGTCAAACCTGGTAATGTTGTCGTTAATATGTGAAGAAACTACTGCAACGCATGCAGCACAGAAGGCCAAGACAACGGTATCTTCATGGACTCGAAGCGCACCATTTTCCTTGCCCGAATTCTCGGTAAGCCCATGAAAAAAAATTGCCCGCAGCTTCCCTCGGGGGAACACTGAAGAGGATGCGGAGCATATAATTGGTTAACGGGGTGTTAAAGTGCGACTTACTTGGGTCGATGGCTAAATTGTTTAACGTGGTTGTGAAATGGGGTGTTAAATTGCGACTTACTTGGGTCGCTGGCTAAATTGGTTAACGTGGTTGTAGGAGGGGTGTTAAATGAGTGAACACGTACGACACGTATGCGAAAGGGCGGTGTTTATTCATTGCGACGAACTTTGAGCACGATGGCTTCTAGATGCCACTTTGGCCGGCGCTGGTCGAAGGGACGTCGATCATTGCGACCTCGGACGTCGACGCGCCGTACAAACCAACCGACGAGCGGCAACTGAGCGAGCGATCACCGACCTTGAGTATATATACAGCGCGACGGCGCATGCACTGTCAGCTGTCGAATGTTCGAGAAGGGGGAGAAGCGCAACGGCGCATGCGCGCGCGTCAGCTGCCGATGTTCTCGAAGCGCGACGGCGCATGCGCGCGCGTCAGCTGCCGATGTTCTCGAAGCGTGACGGCGCATGCGCGCTACATTATACAGCTAGCGAATGTTCATGAACAGGAGAAGCGAACGCGGTGTGTAGAGGAGGAAGGGTGCACAGATGGTGGAGGTGTGAAGCGCGCGCAGTGTGTAGAGGAGGAAGGGATGCACAGATGGTGGAAGAAGGAGGAGGAAGCTTGCGGACGGCGCCGCACTACAAGCCTCGAGTATTAGATGCTCCGCATCTAAAACAACGCAACCTATGATAAACTCGCCAGATTGGCAATCCACAGTGGCCCCACACATCCGCAGAGAATTTATGCCCTGAATAATGTCATGCGTGCTCCGTGGAAGAACCGTAAATTCTGTCACAAACACTTGATCACTCAGTGACACTGCCGTGGTACTAACACAAAGCGGACACAGCAAGTTTCCACCAACGCCACGAACGTTATCGCTTTCTCCCACAAAAACATGACTTCTCGTCGTAAACGAGCTTTGAACGCAACTCTCATGATCGACACGGTGACTCCAGTGTCCACCAAAGCCATTGGATGTATACCACCAGCAAAAACTTGCTCTCTCTCTTTGTAACCATAAACACCAGGGGAGGTATTTGTTCTTGCAGCGAATCACCAGCGACATCATTCCCAGCGGCCGCGCAGCCTAGTTTGCCTGATGTGGGTGCGCGTAGTCGTGACACGGCGACGGCGACTCGCACAGTCGAAGTGCTGGAGGTGGTGTCACACTCAGGTCGGAGGCCGAAGAAGTGTTGCGGAAGTGCCCCCGCCGGAAGCTGCTGTTGGGTCGTGGTTGTCTAGTCAGTGTTTTTGTAAGG